CTTTATAAAAGGGTGGAAAAGGAGGAACCAGTCTCTGCTTCCTCATCAGCCAAGAGATGTTCCTGTGAGTCGTCACTGTTGCAGAGTTCTCCCCACTGTGGTCTGCTGTATCCCCCTATCCCTTACTCTGAGCCCAAGCAAACCTTTCTCCTTAATTTGCTTTTTGTCAGGTATTTGGCCACCATAATGAAAAAGTAACCAATGTTAAGGTTTATCATAGGATTAAAGATTATCTTAAATAATTCCTCTTATTTAGTTAAATTTCCATGTGTGAAGGTTTTTATTTGAAAGTTTTTAGGTAATAAAATTCACTAAAAATTCTTATGTGAGATATTTTAAACCTTCTAAAACTAAACTATGAATGGTAAAGTTGTAGATACTATTTGTTGGGTGTCTCTGCATAGGCATTCTGGCCCTATTAGGCAGTGTTTCCATTTCTCCTGGTGTGACTACATAGACATTCCAGCCTTATTATGTAATGATGAGGATGACACTTACACTTGCCTATTGAGTTAGACTTACCCTGGCTTAGGATCCTACCTAGGAAACCAGAGGTTAAAAACTACCTGTTGTCAAAGTCACAGATACATAGAGCCACAGAACAGAGGCTCCTGTGCTCCCAAAGATAACACAGCTCTTTCTTGTGTCTTAGTGGACTAACTTAGAAAAGTCTGGGCTTCAGCAATGTCACTCCAGCAAGCCAGGTGTAAAATCCAGGTGACCTGTATTCCAGGTGCCTGCCTTTCCCAGGTGTCCTCAGAACAAGATAAAAGAGTGTCACTATACAGCTATGGAAATGAAGGGTGACAGGAAGAAAGTACTGAAAACATTCCATGTGACATTTACTATCCCAGGGAGTTCAGGGTTATAAGCCTTCCTGCATTCAAGAAGCTGTTAAATTCTCTAACTGCTCATTTACCTGATGGCAGAAAATCAGTCCCCACAGATACAGACTGATGGGTAAATAGCTTGATGAGGATGTATTAAAAATGATAAACTAACACAATATGCCTTCTCTTAAGAGAATACCAAAAGCATAGGATTTCTTTTGCAGTATTTCTTTTGCAGTCAGCGTTGACTGGAACACCCCAGTTTTCTTGAGGGATACTGCATTTTTTGATCCATGAAATATTGTACTTTAAGTAAAGTTGGCAGGTCCTATGGGGGCATGCAGAACAGAGCAATTTGGTGAAGGTTGAAGAAATTATGTGTAGGATTAGAATTGAACCTAGAGAACCCTGATCCCCTGTTTTAGATGTGTTTTACCTTGAGCAAGTATGTAATTTCATGATGCCTCACTCCTCCATCCTCACCCTAGATAATGAGAGCAAAAATGTATTATAACAGTGTCGCACCTGCTGTGCGGCCTGCATCCGAGAATGTAGTGAGGTGGTCGGGATAGATGACACAGAGACCGGTTGGTTGCTTTAAGAAAAACTTTATGGTTCCCAAGTCAGCTTAGGAGGAGACTCCAAGTCCGCTTAGGAGAGAGAAGTCTCTCAGGAGAAGTCTCTCCAAGAAAAATCGCTTCCCTTTTTAAGGACTTCTGCCATCCATCTACATACAATTCTTTCCAGACTTCTCACCCTCCTTGCTGGTGGTTTAATCTCCGGCCCCAGAATCGGGGGAGACACAGCAGGGGAACAGGAAGAGGCATCTAGCCGTAGGAGGTGTGAAAGTCATGGTATCTCAGTGAGTGAGCCCTTATCTGAGCCCTATCAAGAGCTTCATAGCACTGAATTGTTTTCAGTAAACATTACACAGCTGCCTGCTCCCAGGCTGAAGGGGAAGTGGGTTTCTGCTCAAGGTCTGGTGTCCCCACATAACAGTGTTTACCTCATTGGAGGGTTGTGGAGCCTGTACATCATATTCAGTGCCTGGCTTCTTATGGGTGCTTATTAATAGTGATCTACGCTATTGCAGAGAGGCAAAAGTGAGCACTGACTCTAAGTGCCAAGCTTGGACCAATGACACCAGTACACTACAGGTTCCAGCCACCTTGGTCTGATTTTGAATTCTGCCAGGCTGGCCCTAAGTTTGAATGTGGTTGCTAATTGGCTATGCAGCATTGCATAAATTGCTTAATATTTGAAAGTTGCTGTTAGCTCATCTGTGAAATAGGGAGCATTATGATAAGAGTATTCACTTTATGGACCATTTTTACATATAAATGAGTTGCTAGTGAATCCTCAAACTATGTCTTGCGTTTGACTGAAATAACTATTATGATTTTCTAGAAGCTACCACTCAGATAGGATAATCCAGTGGTAAAGGACGCAAATTATGTGAAAGCCCCTATAATCAAAGTGTTGGATGGAGCTCATGTGCTCATGTTTCCAGGCTACAGCCTACCACTTGTTTGTCATATAGCTGAACCCTGTGAGTGGTTAGTACACTCGTGGGTTGAGGAAGAAGCCACGAGAAAGAAGGGCGGTTGGCTTGAGAATACCAACAAGTGAGAGATTGTACCTACAGGACTGGAAAGGACCACAGTTTCATATGTTTCAGCCTCATGCTAATGTAACACCCCCATCCCATACTTCCCCAAACCTCTTTGCATTACGCTGGCAATGGAGACCCATTGCAGTTCATCTTGGGAAAGCCTCCAGTTAGTGGGAAGTTCCTGAGATCAGATGTGGCAAAGCCCAAAGAAACAGTCACTCAGGCACTTGGAAATACTGTTTTCTTCTTATAAAATACTTTAGATTGATTTTTATTGATCAGCCAATTTGGGGGATGTTAATACTCCCAATTGGTGAACCACAATTTTTTTTCCATGACATACTCAATGCTTTATTTGCAATCAAAAGCTTTTTGAATCACACAGGAAAATAAGTAGTTTCTTGTTGAATCAAATAAACACCCTATTTGTTTTGTATTAGCCTCAAGCTGCTCTCAAAATCAGTTTTTTCTTGTGCTACTTGTATGAAAAGGAGCATCAGTCTTACTATCTAGCCATATGTAATAGTTCTGAACTTGCTTAACAATAGCTGGTTAATGTTGTTAGTTTGAATTATCTGTGCCCATGCCAACTCTCAGGCCTGATTTCACTGAGTATAAAATGTTCCACACCAGACATGGAGACCCTCTGCAGTGATCCAGTTTCCCCCATGATTGATCATCCCAGGCAAGTACTTTGGGTCACTAGCATGCAGAGCCTGGCATGACCAGCTCTCAGATTTTCTCACCTAGTAGGGCCTGGAATTATAGGGATAGAATTACAACTTCATGGATTACTGATGGTGCTGATAATAACCTAATGTTGATAACAAGAGGGCTTCTGGTGTTTTCTTTGATTCCCAGACCTGTTGTAGAATATTAATTTAAGGTGTGTTACTTTTGTTTATGCTCTGGAACATTTGCTTAATGATGCAAAGATGTGTTTGATTAAATAAAATTCACCTGCGGTCAGGAGGCTGGGTCAGCAACTAGTCAACAGGAAGTTGTAGGGAGGAGCCAGGTAAAGAAGGGTTTATAAGGAGTGGGCAAGCATGCGCAGGAGGACTTTTTGGAAGACTCCGAGGAGGTGAGCTAGGTGAGCTGCATGCTATTCAGCTTCTTTGGGAAGCAGGATTCTACCTCAACCTTTGAATCTTGAGTTCTTTAGCGGGGTGGAGATTTAAATAAGTTTCCTTAGTAGCTTTGAAAGAGTCGGTGCCTGAGGGAACAGAATACTCTCAGGGTACGGCTCTTGTGGCCTAGTGGAGCTGCAGTTGCTGAATTGGATATCCATGGATTAAAGGTCGAAACAAACAGACCCACATAGAATAGTTACGGGGGAGAAAATACCATATACTGGATGTGGGTACAACAGCACCCTTTGCTAGACACCATAATGACTGATTCTTTGATGGTTCTTCAGCAGATAGCTGTGATCCTGCCTGCTGCAAGCATGGCAGCTATCCAGTTAATTCTTCAGTAGGCTTGCAACCCATTTAATCAATATGGATGCTATAATCAACTAGGCAGTACTAAAAGTTCCATAAAGTCAAAACATTCTGGTTGCCATTTCATCTCTATGTTTTAGTGTTAGCTAATCTCGTGTCTCATGACTTAATACCTTTCAGCCTCTATTATTCCTGGATCCCATTATTTCCATTAACATACAGAGGCATTAAAATGTCAATGATATTTCACATTATTCATTAAGATATTACTAAAATATGTTGACAGTATTATAATATTTAAATGTTTCCAATTATTTACTGCTATATTTGATTTTTATACATTGAACTTGTATACTATGATCTTGTTAAATGCATTTTTTATCATAGTAAATTAATTGTAGCCTTCTTAGGATTTTGTTCACATGTCATCTCTGCATAAACATTTTACTTCTTTTGGGGGGGGAGCATCGAGACAGGGTTTCTTTGTGGCTTTGAGGCTGTCCTGGAACTTGCTCTTGTAGACCCGATTGGCCTCGAACTCTTAAAGATCCACCTGCCTCCGCCTCCTGAATGCTGGGATTAAAGACATGGCACACCAACACCCAGCACATTTTACTTCTTACATTGTAATTTTTATAGATGTATAGACTTATTTCTACTTCATCATCAAGACTTCAGTACAGCATAAAATGAAGGTGGCAGGGACTATCTTTGCCATGCTTACTGTGTATTACCTTTATAATTTCCTTCCATCCCTACTTCTAAAATTTAAACAGATGCTACATTTTGTCAAAAATTCCTGCTCCTATTGAGATATTCAAGTGATTTTTTTTCATTTACTTAATCTACTAGTGAGACCATCCATTCTTTAAATTTTCTTTGCAGGATTAAAAAAATTATGAATTATACATCTAATAGTAGGGGGCTGTTCATATTTTGTATTATATCTTATCTGGTTGTGATAGGTTGTGTTTTCAAAGCAAAGTCTATTTTTTATGAATATTAACATAATTATTCATAATTTCTAATTTTTGAGAACTTATAAGCTCTGTAAGGATGGTCATGTTTGGATCTGTGATACTGAAAGTGTACCTTTTCCTTATTCTTTGTTAGTAGAAGACTTTCAACTTATCACAAAATGACTTGGATGCTGGGCATGGAGCTTCAGTCCTTCAATTCCAGCACTTGAGAAGTAGAGGTAGGTGATCTCTCTGAATTCATGGCTAGCCTGGTCTACACATCAAGTTCCAGGCTAGCCAAGGCTACAATAGTGAGACCCTGACTCAAGAAAAAAAGCAGCTTAGTTTTGTTGATTTTCTATATTGTGTTTTCCGTCATATGGATTTTATTTTTATTTTCATTGTATTTTTCTTCTACTTTGTCAATTATCCTGGCTTAGTTTATTGTTTTCTAACTTCTTGTGAAATAAATTTAGACTTTCATTTTATAACTTTCTTCACTTCTGTGTGAGTCTTTAAAGCTGGGGAGATGTGGTTGCTGATATTTGCTGTTTCTGCACTCATAGACGCACTCACAGGAGAGCCCGATCTAGACATGCCTCAGTTCAATTCTCTTCTAAGGTGACTTTGGGTTTTATGAAGTTGACAAAGCTGTCTCACTGACCCAGCATTGTTGGGGAACACAAATGAGAGCATGAGACAAACAATGACTATAATACTTTCTTTGGTTTCACGTGCTCTTCTTCAATGACAGCCAGGTTTTCATCTAGTGGTGAGGATATTAACCTTTGTGTATTCTTTGGGAAGTCACTAAGTTGTGGTGTTATGGGTAGGAGGACAATGCTAAAGGGACCTTTGGACAAACCCTTAGCTTCTGCCCTGGCTTCTCTCTCTTGTTAGATTTATATTTCATATTTTTATTTGAAAAAATGTAAATTTTTCAAGGTGCCTCACATATTTCATCTACACTTAGGATTTTTCCTTTATTAATTACTAATTTTCTAATTCTGTAGTTCCCTCTTAATCCTTAATTAGGTTAGCTAATGTTATATATTAATTATTATGGTCTTTTAGCCAAGGAATCTGCTCATAACACATTTAACCCTATTATTTAATTTTAAAAATTATTCTGTTATTTGTGGGTTACCAATCTATTATCTTTTGAGCTTTTAAAGATTGTTTTTCTCTTTTAGATTTCTGTGTTGCATGAACATATGTTCAGTAAAACTCTGCAATTTTGAATGTGGCCTGGTTCTAATTTATAATGTTATTTCTTTGTTTTTTTTAGATATTTAACAGTTTCAATGTATGTGTTATTTCTGATTCAACAGTTAATTAAGAGAGATCCCCCCCCCCCCCATTTCTAAAGACTTGACTTTTCTACATTTCCGTGCTTGTCACTTATGTATTGCTTTATTATGCTGCTGCTTAGAATGAGGTTTGTATTATAACAGCTTCCTGGGATTTATGTTTAAAAGATGCTAATTTTGTAAATGCACCCATAGCAACCTAGAAAGACACAATTTTCATGATATTGTTCCCATGTTTTGCTTCCTTGTTTTCATATGCTTTCTTTGTCAGAGAGCTAAAAAGGTACATTTAAGCCTCTTGTTTTACGCTTTTCGTTGGGTTCTCTTTGTGTTTCCCATGATTTTACTTTACAAATGTTGACATTTTGCTCTTCGATTACTAATGGTGTGTGATTGTATTAGCTCCCCAGTTTGTAGTTACCATCATTATCAGGTGACTGCTCCTACCCTCCATGCAGTGCTTGGAACCCAGAATTGCTTCTGTCTATCAGCAACTTCACAACTGATAACTTTCTCTACTCAACCATATGCTCTGGGTTAGAAGTATTGTTCGGAGGAAATAGAAGTGGTGTGGCTGCTTCTCTGCCCTAGGTCTTGCATGTATTGTTTGTCCTTGTAGTGAAGAAGATTTTCTGCAAGTTCTTGACTTCTCAGTCCAGTGAAGCCCAATGCTTCTATCTACCCCAGGTGGGAGTCCTTAAGATCCCTCACTTTTCTTTTTCTCCTCCTCCTTCTTGCTAAGTTTTATAAGCATTGAGAATAAATCCTTGAATAAGATACAAATCCAAAGCTGCCTCCCTTGCCCTGAATAAATAGGTTTATTATAATGCAGACAAAAACAGAAGAAACAAATGTATACAAAAGGAACATGTGAATATATAGGCAAAACTGGATAAAAGAAAATTACTTGAGCATAGATTGCTAGTAACATACCTTAAACATTTTATTAACATCTGTTTATTGCACATAATAATGGGTTTCATTATGGCACCTTCATACATACAGAATATGTGTTTATATTACATTTTCCCCAATTACCTTCTCTTGTTTCCCTGATGCTCCCACTGAACCTGTTCCTCTTCCTACCTCCTACTCCTCCTTTTATGCCTTCATTGGTTTGTTTATTTTGATGCCCCAATTAATGCTATAAGGATTGTTCACAGGGTACCAGATGGGGGGATTATTTATCAAAGCAGGAGTTCCTCACCAGTGGCTACAGCACTCAAGAAAATACCTTCCTCTCCCACTGACCATTAAGTACCTAAAGATGCTCAGGGAGAGGTGAGGTTCCATTATGTGCAGACAGATCTTCGTGAGGGAGCCTTAAAAGATTCCTTTTATCTACTCATACTCTCAACAGTCATGTTGACAGGTCCAATCTTGCACGGGTTTTGTGTGATAATCTCTACTGCTGTGTGATCAAGCCTGCAACAGTGATGGTATGTTTGAGATGAAGCATTCTCTCACTTCTCTCCTTCAACTGACTCTCACATTCTTTCCTTTATTCAGTGATGTTCTCTAACTGTGGAATAGGTGATACAGATTCTGTCTTTGGCTGGTATTTAAGTCTTTTATTCTCAGCTCCTTGACCACTAATACACCTCTGCAATTAATACTGACCATTGCAAAAAAGAAAGTTTTCCAACCAAAGCTGATAATAGCACTAATCTATGAGCATCGGCATAAACATTTAAACAACAGCATGATGGACACATTCTGTCCAATTAGCATAATGACGGCTTCCTCACTAGGGTCTATGACTTCCCCATCTTCGGATACCGTGACCTTCCCCTGTGGAACTGGTCTCGTATTTGATCAGAGAACAGAACCACCGTTACTGAGTTGCCGCTGTTGCTTCAGTGGGCACCTGTTTCCCTGCCACTCCATAGTGTGGTACTCAGAGTCTACAGCTATGAAACACCTTTGAAATAAAAACGGAAGGCAGAACACTGTGGGGGAAAAGGGTTAAGTGATGGGATGGCGTAGGGACATGGTAGACAGGAAGAGAAGGGGCCTGGAGATAAATAAAAACTAAGATTGTATGAAAAAAATCCAGAAATAAGTCTGACACTGGGTAAGCTAATTAAAAAAATAATGAAAAAGTGCTTAAGCAGAAGTGGGTAGATAAAGCTGCTCTCAGAGGCTATGGATTCTTAAGTGGGTCCCTCCTCTAGAAAACCCTGACCTATAGGGTGCCTAGTCTTCATCTAAGGCCCATTTGGCATTCTCAAAGCAGTTTTCCTCCATTGCTATTTGGCTGCCATCTCAGGTCGCGTGTAGTAACATGGTAGTGGCAATAAACTTCCACTGTCCTCCCTTCAGGATTAAATGCAGAAATTTAGATAGAATATTGTTTCTCTCTCTGGGAGCCCTAGCATGTTCCTGCCTCCTCCTAGCTCTGGTCCTTTTGTGTGACCATCTTTAAGCCAATCACTGTAGCCAGGAGAATGAGACATACAGAATATGCTCATTCTATGCTCACCTTTATATCTGGGCATTGGCGCATCTCAGGGTACGTGAACCACAGGGCAGGGGTGGTTTCAGAGGGAAATGGGGGGTACATCACCAGCACAACAGCAAATAGTGGGAGACCAAATGCTTCCAATAACATGCCTAATCTGTCCAAGCAGCTTTGAGCTTCTAGATATTAAACCAGATTGAAAGAAATAATGTGACACCAGGATACTGTCATTTATGGAACATATTTTGGGGGGCAATGATATATTAGTCACAGAAAAATCAGATTTATCATGATTCAAGTGCTGTCTCAATCTTTATAGTCTTTATAATCATTTAGTGATATCTTTCCAGGGAAACCAACAGAGGAGAAATGATGTCTCACTCAGTCTGGCTACCACTGGCAATTTTGAGAGATATTGTTTTGAAAACCTGTTTATTATATGTGTTGAGAAACTACAAATTGCTTTCAACATGTTTTTTCAGAGAGGTGTGAAGTGTTCTGAAAGCTGTCAACAAAATGTCAGGTGGGCCAATAGAGAGAGCAGAGGCATTGTGGTTTCATGGTGACTTACATTCCACCTCAGTCTGATTGGCCGACCCGAGCCAGGGTGAAAAGATGAAGTGCTGAGTGAGCTCCCTGCTAATGGTTTCTGTGGGAGACTCGCCACCTTCATCATTGTGATTCTAAGGGGAATACATAGCTCCAAAGACATCAGCATGCCTCTGCTTGCGTAGCAAAACTCATAGCGGGAAAAGAGACCTCAGCACAAATTTCTTTGGGCATCTTTTACTAACAGACTTGGGCCAACTAAGTGATTCTTCAAAAGATTTTCAAATTTCCACAAAGGCAAATAAAATTAATCATAAAATATTCATCATGATTTTTGCCAATATTTTAGGGCACAAGTGTAACTGTTGTTGTGCCAGGGCAGTGATCTGGCAGTACTGGCTGCAGAGAGCCCTGGTGCATAGACTACATAGCAGCAGAGGAATGAACAGAGGCAAGATAGAGCCATTAAATACAGGCGTTTCCAGGGCCTCACTGCCAGCCAGAGCAAGCATTTAGGCAGTCATTGAACAGAGAGCCGTAAACTGGAGCCATAAACTCAGTAAACTGGACTCATGATTTTAGGGCAATTTTTTTCTTGGGATCTTGAAGGGTGAAAATCACTGGGTTGAATTATTTGTCATTCGTGCTATTTATGCAAATTAAATTCACATACTGCAATACTTGTTGGAAGGATTGTGTGCCGACAAGACAATGGTCATTCCCGTGGTGCCAAGGACTTCTAAGGAACTGGCCTGCAAACGTCGATGGCCAAGAAGGAAGTGAGAAGCCAAGCGTGCTGGCATCCTAGCTGACTCAGATCTCTGATACCCACCCCCACCCCCAGTTTGTCTCTCCCTCTTTCTCATGCCTCATGTGCTTGGATGTAAAGGCCTGAGTAGTAGGCTCAAAAGGGGAACTG